CGACTTTTCGTCCGCTTCGATGTTGAGTTTTCCTGCGATATGCACCGCAGAAACCCACAGGTTCCTAGCGATACACCAATCCCACACTTTAATGGCAAGGGAGTTAAGAACAACAGATTTAGAACCTCCCATATTATTAATGTAGGATACTGCTGTGGTGTTATCGACAAAGATACGTACATGTTGATTGTTTAAGTTAGAGCAAAAGCATTTCAGTGCAAAAAAGGCCGCCTTTAATTCCAGAACGTTGATGTGCAGCGTGGCCTCAGAGGACATCCATCGCCCTCCCGCTTTTTGCTCTCCGTATATAGCACCCCAACCAAGGTTAGAAGCATCCGATTTAATAACAATGTCAGGATTGTCCCGCACAATGTCACGTTTGAGATTTTGTACATTATCTAACCACCATCTTATCTCGGAGACAGCACGCGTTGATAAACTCATGGGCCCGGCATAGTTTCCTTTAGGCAGAACAAGGGCAAAATATTTTTCTTGTTCGAGTTCCCTATAGTGTAATGGTCCAAATTCAGCCCCGGGGAAGTTGGAAACGAGTGTTCCTATTAACTCAGCGACTTCTCTAATTGAGGGATTAGGTTTAGCTAAAACCACAGAACAAACARAGACAATTTTCTCTTTCTTTTCATCAGTAGGCACAACTGTCATCGTGTTCGAGTTTAAAATAAATCCTAGAAAAACCAGTTGTTGCGTTGGTGTGAATACTGATTTGTCGGGGTGTACACAAAACCCCAATGAAGAAAACAGCCGCACAGTGTCAACAACATTGTTATAACATTCTCTGAAACTATCACCTTGCAAATAAGAGTCGTCGATATATGCTGAGCTAACATGCCTCATGCTGCGGAGTGTCGAATAAACTGGCTTTAGTAGCTTAGTAAATAAGCGCGGCGCACTAGCTAACCCATTTGGTAAGCAAGTGTACTGGTAGAACTTGCCATCAAACCAGAATCTTAGATATTTCTGATGCAAACTATAAATAGGTACTGTGTAGTATGCGTCTTTAAGATCTACCGACGCCATGTAACACCCTGGTTTCATAAGTTGGATGGCATGCTCCAATGTATCCATCTTAAAATGATGATACACAACATACTCATTGAATTGTTTTAAATTGAGAAYCATACGATGCGTGCCGTCCTTCTTGGGTCGTAAAAATATAGTGGATATAAAGTCATCTGGTTCTTTAGATGTTTCTATAATCACATTCTTCTTAATTAGCTTATCAATTTCCTGTTCAACAATGACATGTTCATTGTGATTGAAGACACTAGGTCTGGCATTAGGTCGAGCAATCATATCACTACCGTAAATCATTTCAATTTTAACCTCTTTGACTATGTTAAGTATAGATGGGTCATTTGTTAATTCAGACCATTGATCAAGGTATTCAGTTAGCCTCCCCGCTGTAAACTCAGCAGGTTTAAGTAACCATGATAATATGTCCTTGTCTATATCATAGCACATATGGACATCAGGGCATACCTTTATTGGTGTTGGTTGCTTGTCCCCTCCTTTTCCTTCCTGTATTTGGAGGGATGGCCTCTGTCTAAAAAAGAACTGTTTTTACTTCTGCCATACGGCTGGAATCGGCGATTCCCTTTGTAGCCATAGCTCTGGTGGCCGCCATGATGACCCCCACGTGTTGTTGTAGAGGTGGGACGAACCCTCTTTGTCAGCTTGTTTGCCTCAGCGATGTCTTTGGTTATTTTGGACAAGTCGCCAAAGAGAAATTCCGAATCACCATCCCCTGCGGGTGAAACATTACAGAGAGACGCGTAATCCTT